TTCCAGCACGCGATGGCGGTTTCCACCCGAATTCGTGGTCCGGGGGGAGCCCCTACAACCGCGTTCGACAGAATTGAGGCCCCGTTAGGTGTCATAACCCGACCCCCGTTCGGCCAGAGGACGGGTTTGGGTCTGGTTCCGATGGGGGTGGTCAGCAGTGGTGGGAGAAACATGTACACGGTGTGCGCGAAACCGGCCCAGCCTCCCCTGCCTCTCGCTGTGTTTTAATTTGGCCCCTAATTCTCTCCAAGGGCCCTACGTACCCAAAATGGTGTGCGATTTCTATACCAGGACCGGAGAAAAACCCCACTGCAGCAAACCACCCTGCCCTGGCCGAGCAACGGGCTGGGGGACTTACGGAAGCACTGCCATCGCTCCAGTCTGATGTTCAAAGTGGCGTGCAAGACATCGCACGCTGACTTGTATGGGGCCCAACATGAAAGTGGCCCTGTTTACACGACTCCATGCGTGTCACATGCTATGTCATACATGCTTGGAGAGGGATCTGCAGAGAGGAAGCGCAAATGCCCATTTTGCGTGGGCAGGCTGGGCTCTTTACCGTGTCAAGGGAGCAACCAGCACTTCCATCCATTAAGCGCATGCAAACACATTACTGCGCGCGTCTATGCGTGCAAGTATATCCCCGTCATATACATTATATAATCTCCTCTTCGAGTATTTCCATGCTAGCCTGCGAGATCCATTTAATACAACGCATTTAACATTTTCCAAATGCCCACTTACAATACCAATATAAATCTCTCTCTCTCTCAATCTATTGTGACTACTTATATTAACAATATAGAGAGAATGGGCAGACCGCAGCCCATCTCAATTTGCAGCTGATTTTTAATTTGGACACAATTATCAAACCTGGGCAAACGATACAGACCACCAGTGTCTACAGAGAATAGGTTATAATAATCATCATCATCAAAAAAGGGGAAAAAATGCATCTTGCCAAACTAGGTGCGTGGGTTTTCAAGATTATGTGGGGCGGGGGGTGGGTTGCCATTTTCTTTTCTTTTTTTTTTTCTTTTAATAATTTTCTAATTTCTCCATTATTAAGCATGAGGGGGAAAGAAAAGAAATCAGGACAGAAACCAAGAAATAAAAGAATTTTTTTTTTTTTTTTTTTTTTTTTTAAGGTTCAACCAAAAGTATGCCCTATTGAGAGAGAAATAAATAAAAATGTCGCTTGTGCTTTTTTTTTTTCCCCCCCCTCAGCGAGCAGAAAGCTCAACAGGAATTCCTGGGTTTGCTCCACCTAACAAACTGCCCTGAATTTCCACCATCCCAAAACCCAGGACACGCACAATCGGCGATGCATAATGCGGGATGCTACGGCGCTGGAAGAATTCGGACCTTTCCCCAGATCCAAATGTCGCTAATACGACCGGTGAAAACCCACCAGCTCTCTCCATTGTTCGCTCTTTTACTTAGACATATATATAATAAATATATATGGTGGGGTTTTTTTTTACTTCCTCCTCCATATTTTTCCTTGGTAGATATTGTCTTAGTCAGCGCTGGATTTTTAAAACGCTATTTTCCAGGGACGTCGCCTGCCTGTGCAATGCCAGCATGGGGGCTTACGCAGAGGCGCTGGGGCAAAACAGGGCCGTGATAGCGGGGTTTCGTGAAGCTGGGAGCAAGGGAGCGTGAGCCTTATAGCAGGCGGCGAGTGGTTTTGCTGAGCTCCTTATAACAACGGGGTCAAACACCAACCGCTCAATCTTGGCTGGCGAGCCCACTGCAACGCTCGCGTCGCGCCGCCCGCCCCGCAGTGCCCAGCGGTCACGTCCCCAGTCCCAACGCTCTTGACCCCGAAGTTTGAGCGGTCGCATAACACACGTTGAAGTCCTATCTTTTCCGTGTGCAAGAGCCCTAGCACATGTCTGGCACTGAGCAGAACAAAAGAAAAGAGCCCAGACTGTAGAAGCTGGGAAGGAATCGAAGCTGTAACCAAAAACTTAGCGAGGGGGGGAAAAAAAAAAAAAAAAAAAGAAAAAAAAACTCTCTTTTCCAACCCCCCACAAAAATGTGCGAGAGATAATAAAATCCATATGCGACGCAACCAGCCGGTAAAGACGCCGCGGCAGGGATGCACGCACAATAGGACCGAGGTCCCTGAACTTTAGGGTAACCAAGAGCTGGGCACAGCAGAAGGGACACTGCAGGAAACAGCATATTTGCAAATCCCGTTTATGCCTCCGAGGGAATATTTGATGGCTGGATAAATCCAGCTGGTGGGGAGACTCCGAGCAGCCTCTCAATCCCGTGTGCATCTCACGGTCTTATAGGTGCCTATAGATACATCGCCTAAGTGACACGCTCGTGAGACAGAGCGGCTCAGACCGCAGATCCATGCCCAAGTTGTCTCAGCAGCCCCCACGCCACATACATCACGCTCCGCTCGTCTGGACAGAGATCCTCATTGAAATACAGTTGGGAACTTGAATAAAATGTAAAAATTTCACTGGAGAACATCTCCAGAATGAAGAGTCCATTCATACTGTCAGGAAGCGGACTGGAAAATAAAAAGTTCTCTATTAAAGGTTCCCCTCTGAGCTTTCCCACAGCAAGAGGGGGAAAATCTCTCCAGCGCTGCAAATGCAAAAGGACCCCCCCTTGTCAGCGGCAACATTTTCTGGTCTATTTTGCTACCCATTTGTCTGCTTCGCTCTCTATTGCACAGGGGCGCAGGGCTCGCTTTCCATAAGCCCAGCCAGGGTCCATACCTGCACGGATTTCTCTCTCTGTAGGCACCGACGATGAGCGAAAAATATGGATGCGACCCCGCCGGAAACGCCAAGATCTAATGAATTAAACCCGCAAAATGCCTGTGCCTCCAAATGCAGCGATCAGTCCCTTCAGCTCTGTACAGAGATTTTACTTATGGGCTCAACTTTTTTTTTTTTTTTTAGCAGTGGAAAGTAGGATTTCCACCAAACTGCCCGTGAATTTGCCCCTTTCAAACAGCTGGGGGAGGGGGGAGGATAAATTCCCTGCAGTCTTAGTCACCTGTGTCAAGAGTGAGAGGAAGATCCCCTCTTCCTTTCAAACTCTCTTTTTTCCTTCCCCCAAAATTAGACTGAAAAAGGAAATACAGCAAACTTTGTTTCGGTTTGTTTTTCAAATGAACCCTCGAAAGGAGGGAATGAATTCCAGAGAAAGAGAAATTAAACCAAAATGATCAAATAGCATTTTTTTCCCCCCAAAAGAAAATAAATACCTTCAAAAAAAATAAGCCTTTTTCCTTCCCACCCCTCCCACCCTTTATAGCAAGTGGGAATTGCTGCTTCTCAACCCTGAGCCCTCCACAGCCCCTGCTTTGTGGTCTATTAGACACTGGTAGACTGAATAATATTTCACAAAAGCCATTATGAGCCTCTGAGCACAGATAACCCGTTTTCGAGTCTCGCCACCGAACCAGCCGTGGAAGCATATTTTAAATAATCCTGTGGCAATAAGTGGCAGCACAAGATGCCCTTTGTTATACCGGCTGGGTCCTTGCAGGGCACTTTCATGGCTCCCCAGTATACATTTCCCACAGTTCCGATGTCTTTTCACGTGAACTGGGAAGAGCCATGCTACCGCAACAGTGCCTGTAACAAAATACTGCCAACTCAGGGCTTTACATGGAAAGGAAAACTTGAACTTCCCCAAAGTTCACTGCCAAACGGGATTGCACTAAATAGCCCACAGCAGAAATGGAGCAAATCGAAGAGCACGACGCCAGCACCAGGAACCCTTCCAGGCCGGTGCATGGAGCCTCACTCCGACGTAGGGGGTGAGCATCCATCGGCAAAGGCAACGCGGCCACTTTGGAATCCGGATTTAAATATTCCCTACTGAAAAATACACCAGGCTGTGCACGGGGAAGGACCAGGCTTCCTCTGTATCCCTGGGCAGCCCTGCCGGGCTTCCTGAGCCTTTTGGAAACTTTAAAAAAAGGCACCCGAGGAAAAGACGCCGGTCTGAGCCAGGCTTCCCTGCCTCCAGTCCACCTGCCCCAGCAGGTACGGACCAGAGGGGCATCGGCAACACCCTGGCACCAGAGGGCCGGGTTGAATTCAACCAGGAGAGAGCTCCTAAGTGACATGTCATTGATTTTACAGTCCGCAACGGTTCTGAAAACTGCTCTGGTTTGTTCACCTTGGCTAAGCAGACTCACAACTTCCCAGAACTGACTTCTGGGGGGAAGGGAGACTTGGTGCCAGAAGCGCATCTGCCAAGAAAAACAGAATCGTAAAATCTAATGCCTATATCTATTGGGTTGACATCCGTTCTTAGCTCCAAGCAGGGCTTAACATTGACCCGACCCCCCCAACACTGCCTGCAAGAAATTAAATAAAGAGCCACTGCTTTTCAATATAAGGCTCATTGGTAGCTGCAGTCGCTTTATTCTTTTTTCTTTAAAAAGATTATGATTTGTTGCAAAATGATATCGCCCAGAATTGACTTTTTTTTTTTTTTTTTTTTGCAGCGGTTTCTTCTCCTAATACAAGCACCCATTTCCTGCGATGGAAGCACTGCAAGTGAAGCACACTGTCAGGGCTCACCCAATAATTAGTCCTAATAACCACACGGCCTATGCGCTCCTCTACACCCGCAATGTGTTGTGTGCACCCACATTGCCGCCGCCACTCCCAGGTTTACAAGGGGATGAGCTAATTGACACCATTCATTATGGAGGAATGTTTCCTTTGCAACAAGTCAGCGAGAAAAGAAAGAGAAAAAGAAGGAGCCCCCGCCCCAGGAGAGGCAGGGGAATGAGGGCAGCCTGCTCCCCCTCCCAGGGTCGGGCTGCCTGGTGTCTGCCCGGCTGAAAAGTTGCTGGGAACTTTTCCCCTAAAATCATCCCCCCCTTGGGGCGGTGAGCCGAGACAGGAGCCGGGGGGGAGGGGGGCCGGGCAGCAGCTGGCCCCGGCCCCACGGGGCTGCCCCGGGGCTCAGCGCTGAGGCCGCGGGCAAGGAAGGGCCTTTCGCCGCCTTACCTGGGGTTGCTCTTGTTCCAGTACACGGCGTAGCGATCCGAGATAACTTTCCCCGTCTCGTCCGTCCAGACGCAAACCCCGACCAGGGCGACCAGCAGCGCGGCCACCTCCAAATGCACCATCGTATTTGCTCGTCCTTCCTTCCTCCCCCCGTCCCCACCCCGGCTTCACGGCTTCATGGGCTCCCGCTGCTCCGGAGCAAGCCCGGCTTCATCCTGGCGCGGCAGCGGGCGCCGTCCTCTTCCTCCTCCCCGCGCCGTGCAAAGTCTGTAGCGAGCGGGCGGCGGGGTCGCGCCGGGATCAGCCCCGG